TGGAGCAGGTCAGAATGATCGAGAACAATGGTGGGAGCAGCTGCGGGGGATCTGCTGTCTGCATGAGCGGTCAGTAGATAGGATACTACTCATTGACGCAAATGCTAGACTGCACACACCAGTTGATGCCATTGTGGGCAATCTTGTGGAAAACTTTCCAACCCCTAATGAGCTGTCTTTTGTAGACCTCCTGGCTTCCACTGGCCTCTTCCTACCCAGCACATTCGAGGAGTTTCATTGGGGAGACACTGCCACATGGACTCATCCAGGGGGAGGCACATGCAGCAGACTTGATTACATCGCTCTCCCAATACATTGGCTGTCTGCTGTTATCTCCACATGGGTTGATACAGAAATCAGCTCTGGTGCGGCCGTGCCAGATCATTCTTGTGCCGCTGCGTATCTGAACTGGACACAAGCGCTTCAAATGAGTGCTAGCAATCGCCACAGTTATGATCATGATGCGATACATAGGCCTGATGCAAAGCCCATCCTCAGGGACATCATTGAGACCATACCCGAAGTGTCATGGGAAGTTAATGCGTCGGTCCATGCAGCTCAGATCAGCAAGCACATCAGAGAGTCGCTCTGTAGAGCATTCCCACGTCAAAAAAGATTGAGACAGAATAAGATCGCTAGCGACGATGCCAGACAATTATGTGCCCTGAATGTCAGTCTCAGGAGGCAGCTCAAGCCATACAAGATGATGGCCAGGCTTGCACTGATAAGGGAATGTTTCGATAAATGGAGAAACCGAAACTACATAGGAGTCACGGACGAATGGGCCAAAACCTTCCATGTTAAGCAGGCAATGATCCGGTCCCAATTGAACGATACTGCATGGAAGCTAAGGAAACAGCTACAAGCTGATCGAAAGTCCTATTTGGCCGGCGTTTGTGATAGAGTCAAAGAGTCCAAACCAGGAGACGTGTTTCGGATGCTTCGCCCGCTCATTGGCACAAGTCGCCGGAATGGAGTTGGAATGCCACTGCCGCAAGTTAATAAGCTGGATGGCGGTGCCACGACTAGTTTCTCGGAATACCAGCAAAGATGGACAGAGCATTTTGCACAGCTCGAAGGCGGGCATGAAGTAGACCCAGCTGATTTTGTCTGGAATGAACTGCAGCGACAGCAACAAAGTCAGCAACCTAGGTGGGAGGCACTCAGTGAGATGCCTACACTATACCAGCTTGAAAACGCACTCCGACGGGTTCATTCACATAAGGCCATGGGACCTGACGGAGTGCCTGGAGACATCCTCCATATGTTTCCCCGAGAGCTGGCGAGGGTCTTGTTCCCGCTCATGACTAAATTTGCTGTGTGGCTCCATGAGCCGGTCCAATGGAAAGGGGGACAATTAATCAAGCTGTACAAAGGCAAGGGGCCAGTACAGGAATGCTCGAGCTTCAGAGGCATCCTTCTCATGAGCACCATTGGCAAAGCCGTTCGGGCAGGAATGCGCTCCAAGGTCAACCGAGCTTTTGTCGACAATAGCACTGAAACACATTTCGGGGGCAAGCCAGCCCAAAGTGTGATTTTCGGGGCTCAAGTTGTCCGGCACTTCATATCGATGAATCGTGACAGAGGAAAATGCTGCGCCGTGCTGTTCTGTGACATCGCCTCTGCTTTTTATCGTGTCCTGCGTCAGCTGGCCACCGGAGCGGACATGACAGATGAGCACATCGCTACTGTTGTTTCCAGGTTAGGACTGCCTAGTGAAGTAATGCGCAAATTGCACGAGGCATTGACAGGCAAGTCCTCGCATGAAACACTTGGAGGCACACATGCTGAGCGATCTTTGTTGCAGGAAAGCTTGTCAGGCACCTGGTTCTGGACTGAGCGCGGACCGCTTATTCATACACTGGTACCTTCAATGTTCTTTTCGCAGAAGTTATCAAAGAGACCCAAAGGGAGCTACAGAAACTTGGACTAGCCTTGATGACTTCCGCTGACGCGGAACGTATACTTCTGCCATTAAAAGAAGAGCAAAATCAGGATAAGGAAACCTCATGTCACGCAACATGGGCGGATGATCTTGCCCTCCTCCTGCCATTACACTCTCCAGAGAGAGTGATTCAGCAAACGGGCCTTGCTGCGCAGGCTCTGCTGATACAACTAGCCAGGTTCGGAATGAAGGCGTCCATAGGCACAGCAAAGACAGCTGCCCTGCTGTTTGTACGAGGCCCTCACGCTGTTACTACGAGAAGACGGATTTATGCTACCAAGAATCCGCAAATTCCAGTCTTGCTTGAAGCAGAAACTGTCTCGCTTCCGATAGTCACACAATATAGGCATCTCGGAGGCATTGTTTCTGCCAAAGCTAGCATGAAGCTTGAGATCTCAGCACGCATAGGTAAGGCAAATGCAGCTTTTGCCAGAATTGCTCGAAAGGTCCTGAAAGCACAGGGGTACCCCCTCAAATTGCGAATCCAAATTTTCGAGGCTACTGTGATGTCCATCTTTACTTGGGGATGCGGAGCCTGGCCTCTGTTACAGATCTCCGAGTGGAAGATGTGGCAGAATGCCTGTCATAATTTGTACCGCAAGATCAGTCCATTGGCAAACGAAATGCATTCCCGACACGTTTCCAATGCAGAAGTCCTAGTGTCCTTAGAACTGGCCACGCCAAATGACCGTCTGCACGCAGCAAGAGTTCGGCACCTTGGAGCTATGGTAGCACACGCCCCAACTGCGGTATGGGCACTCATGCGACAAGATGAAAGAGCCAGACATGCCTATGAAGCATCCATGAATTGGTTTTGGCTGGCACTAGGCAGGGACGCCGACATACCCCAGCCGTACTCTTGGCCGATGTGGGAACAAATAGCCAGCAGCACTCCGCACACATGGAAACGTTTAGTGCGGCGCATCGTTGCCAGATATAGAACCTTTCGCATCAATGAGGCAAGGGTCAAATAGGCGCATAGTGAAATCATTAAGATGCTAGCTGAGCTAGGGTCGATAGTAAAGGGACAGGAGACGATGACCCGACATTACTGTCTCCTTTGCGAGCAGGCTTTCCAAAATAAGCGTGCGTGGTTTTTGCATGCATACCACAAGCATTCGTATCTCTCAATGGCTGGACAAGCTGCCCAAGGCACTTCATGTCCTGTTTGTGCAAAAGAATATTTTTGCCGAGAGAAACTGAAGCATCATTTTCAGTACAGTGCTGTATGCCGCAACTTTGCCTGGAAAGCTCGTGGCCCGCCCATCACCAGTCAGACACAGGCTCATAGTCTCATGCCATGGACATACTGCGAACAGATGCCAGTATGCCATGATGATGACACCAACCGTGATGATGAGGGTTTGAAGCACGACCTTGACGCCGAGCTTCGGCGTTTCGTAGTTTCGGTCGACCATCCATCTTTCGAAGCTGACTTGTACCACAGGATACGAGACACCTGCAACAGACCAATGCCGTTCCCGGATATTGTCAAAGTCTTCGGGCAATGGCTGCAAGATCTCGGTCCTAGTGCGGATCCGGCTCTCCTCAAGGTCGGCTCAAGGATCACGGGAGAGTTCGCTGCCATTGAAGGGTGGGTGCTAGCCGGGCTCGAAAAGAACATTGAGAATGAACAAGATCGAAGAGATGTCACGTGCAGCCAAATCCCCACACACCGACCGAGAAAAGCATTTAGAGACAGATATTTCTTCCACCTTTTTAGTGGAAGGAGAAGACCAGGCGACTTGCAATATGCACTAGAATTGCTGGAGCCGGAACCCGGTACTACCCTTTGGGTACTATCAGTAGATGTAATGGTCTCCAGCAAATACTGCAACCTGCTACAAGAGGACACACAGCAGTTGTGGCTTCGACTAGCACGCGACGGACTGGCAGAAGGCATGCTGGCAGGGCCACCATGTGAGACATGGTCAGTTGCGAGAGAAGCAGATGGTATGTCGCCAAAGAAAGGGCCAAGGCCTCTGCGAACAGCAGAGGCGCCGTGGGGGTTGCTTGACCTTGTGCCCCGAGAATTCCAGCAATTGGACGTTGGCAATAGGCTCATGTTGTTCGCGTTGAAAGTTTGTCTCGTACAGGCGGCGCAAGGGAAGTTTTCACTCCTCGAACACCCAGATGACCCTCGCTCTTTCGATCCCAGCAAAACGAGGTCACCAAGCATTTGGAACACCGCCTTATTAGGGTGGCTTCGCCAGACGGGTTTGTTTGTTGAACTGCAACTTGAACAAGGACTCTTCCATCAGACGAGTCCTAAGCCTACCCGGTTCCTACTGAGCGGATTGACGTCTGAGGTGGCCCGCAAGATAGAGTTTTCCTGTAGAACGTCCACGCGACCGATGGTTGCTTCCATCGGACGAGACGGTGGTTCTTTCAAGACAGCTAAGCTGAAAGAATACACACCGCAATTGTGCACTATGATTGCCCAACTGTTTTTTCATCGGTCGAAGCGCCTAGTCGAAGAACTAGAAGATGCTCCCGATGATCTCAGGTGGCTACGATCGCTTTCAGTGACCACGTTTGAGCACGAGACTCACGGGCCTGATTTCGCGCGCACAGATTAATTCAGAATTTAGATGCTAGGCGGCGCGCTTGACTGCACTTGCCGTGTGTGAAATGAAATGAAATGAATTTTGTTTGGAGGGGTTGTTTTTCACGCGTTTCACGCGTGCAAAACATCCACACGAAAGCTCGTTTGGCCAGCCTAGCCATGCAGGTAGAAACTACCCAGTCCAGGTTCACCTGAACCGAACACTTGCCTCGACCTCGACCTTTCCATTCGGCGTGGCCCGAAAATTCACCGGCCATACTGGTTTGTGTCTTCAAACTTGTGTAAGGGTTCGGTGTGCATGGTGTGCATCACAAAGCCAGGGTGTAACCGGTTCCCAAAAGACCATGCCTTTTTGAACACAATCCGGGAAGTTGCCAACGCACCCAGGCTTTGAATGAGTTGAATCACCACATGCTGCCATGTCTGGCTTTAGTCCTGCTTCGTTTGGCCCCCGAAGCACTGCCGTTGTCCCGAAGCACTGCTCCTGAGGAGTGGACCGCGGCGGCGACCACGGCCACGGCGGATGAGCTGCTGCGGACGCTGCTGGCGGCAGATCTGCGGGACGCGTGCGTGGGTGCCTTGGGAGAGGAATCGAGAGATCCAGTGGAGGAATCAGCAAGACTGGAGGGCAGGGCCGCTAAGAAGTGAAGAACAGGGGCCCGAAGGGCACATGGTACAACAAAAGGACGGGGTAGAGATGGATTAGACATGGGAAACGATGAAGTTCTGGTACTCTGACTTTCGAGTCCTTTTTCCCTCGGGTCGATTGGTGTTTTCCGACCGATTCAAGCCGCCAGTGTTGAGGCCTTCCGAAGGTTAAGAGGACTGTGAGACTGTGAGAGCTGGGAAAACCTCGCCTCGATGTTCCCGTTTTGAAAGCCATGGCCACCTTTCAGCTGGTTGGTCACCCGTGATGCGCGGCTTGGAACATGGAGTTCACACCGCGAACGGCACCCCATAGAGTCATAGAGGATTTCCTCTGTGGGGGGCTTCTCACCCAGAGAAAGGAAGGTTCATTTTCCCCGGGTGCGGCGGCCTCAACTCCTTGCTTCCAAGCTCTTCCCCTTCCTCTTCCCCGTTGAACAAACACGGGCTGACTGTGTCCTTTTGTTCCAACCCGCCACTCGGTCGCTCGGTCCAACTGCCGCAACTGCCGCAGCGAGCGTTGCGGAGAATGTTGTGAGAACCTGAGGCTCCTTACCGGAGAACCTGGATCGGCAGCACAACCTGCGAGCGGCTTGGGCGCGAGCATTGGGCAATTCTCACCGGAGAGCACCGTGAGGGGTTGAAGTTTAGGTGGTCTGACTTTTGAATGTTGGATTCTCGATGAATAACTCCAAGGGATATCTCTTCAAGGATGTTCAGGCTGCGATCTCTGACATATCGGAACCCTTGAGACCAACAGTGTCAACTGGGTGTGCGGTGAAAGGGCTTCAGCTAGGAGGGCAGGAAAGGCAACAACATGGACCGCGAGTGCAGCCAAAAGGATTATGGGGTAGTTCCCAGACTCCAATCCTCTTGATGGAGAGGGTTGTTTCCAAAGCCAACCAGTGAGTCCAGACATCCCTAATTGCAGTATTCTGGATCTTCCACCTCTGACGCCCTTCTCCACTACCTTCACTAAACGACCGTCTTCCTCCCAAAATCAGCTCCAATGGATGGCTCTGAGGTGGAAGGCCAACACTTCCTGCAGATCCTGCAGCTCGTTGACATCGCCAATCCCATTCAGCACGACGACCCTCCCGCCCTGCTGCCCGGAGCGGGGCTTTGCGCCGATCGACCTGGGCGGCACCGGTGAAACGACCAAGCCACTCAGTCCAGCGACAAAAGGTGTCACAGCGACGCAATGAAGTCGGAAGGCGACTCAGGCCGTGAAGTGAAGCACCGCGCCTTGACTCAAGCACTTTCACCTGCGCCTTACGACCCCCTCCCCCCACACCTGGTCGTCGCCAGGAGAGGAGGCGGAGCCGGAGCACCGGAGCCGACGGAAGAAGATGCTGAAGATTTGTCTCATGGTGGGATTGGACCGAGTTGGAGTTGAGTATATAAGAGTTTCACGAACGCGGTGTGAGGCCCAGAAGTGTGCAAGCTTCAGCACTTCGACGAGTCGCACGTCCAACTTTTCCGCACACGGGAGGTCATGGGAGGATCGACTTACGTTCGTCGTCTCCGGCGGCATTCTGGAACACCACTTTGGTGGGCATGTGTTTTTTTCCCCACCCGTAGGACTGTGGGGTTGTTAGATTTTTAGAACTTTGGACTTCAGTACGCCCGGTAGCCCAACTTAGCTCTTCCACAGCACACTGGCCAAAGTGATCCCTGAGTAG